TCTTGTTACGTCTGTCAATTGCCAAGAAGACGAGAAATCTGAAGGATTTTTTGAACGATTAAAGAGCATTTTTAGAAATTTATTCGAAACAGCTAGAGAGGCTTGGAATAAGCTAAAAGAAGAAATTAGGAACAGAGTAGGTGATATGAAAGAAATATCCCGGGAAATGTACGATAACTTCAAACAAAAAATGAAAGAATGGCTCGATGGAATACCTAGTTTGTCTCAGGAAGATCGCAATGAAATGGAAGACTATATCGAAAGGTTAGAAATGCCAAAAGACGGAGAATGGTAAAGAGGTGAATTTAAACTTTTTGAATCTTCTCAGTGCAAATTTTAATAACATACTTCACTTAATTTCATTTCACATGTTAAGGTAAATTCAACGAATTCTCAGATGAGAAAAAAAAAATATTTTTAGTGTTTCACACTAAAAAATTATCGATTTGAGTTGAATAAAAAAAGAACTACATTTTATTCCAAGAAACGTAAATAATGCTATAGCCTCAAATGTATTCTTCATTATATATCCGGTATACTTTCAAATCTTAGTTATTTTTTAAATGATGTATTCTTTTGTCTAAAAAGAATTATTTATCTCATTCGAATTAAAATACAGTACATGTGTACATATATCAAATACCTGTTGTTACGTAAGTATTAGGAAAAGTTTGTGTATTTAATATTACTTTCTATGCATTAAAAATTTGGTAATCTCCGTGTTTCACTGATTTTCTTGTTAATATATTCAATTTTTTCCCTTAGAATAATACTTTTATGAGTGATATTATATATCATATGTAAAAATATTCTGTTCCTTATTTTTGTATATAAAAGGTTAAAATATATAATGATATTATCATACATGGAATATGCAAGTTTAAAGTGTCTTTGGAAGTGTTACATTTAATCGATTGTAAAATATGTATAAATTATGTTATAAGCCAGAATTTTAGCTATTCTTAGTGCATGGCATTTAAAACGTTTCTCTGCTTTAGAACATTTTATAACTTTTGATAAAAAGTGTTATAAATTAAACAGTAAATCTCTAGATTTTGCAATTTTTTTTTTCAACTTGAAGGATAAGAGACTGAATTGAATTTCTGTAGATGTATGCTGCAAATGAGATATGTCACAAATAGTAGTCTAAGAAATTACATTTATTTCAATTTTTAGTGAAATATGTAAATAACACATGCTAAAAATGTATATAAATAGAATAAAAATTAAATAAATGTGTATAAATAGAGTAAAATTAAACAAAAATTAAATAATTATTGCTTTTTAATCACTTATAGTAACAGAAAGATTAAATTTGAAAATCAAATATCTTACGCTTTACTGAATGGCAACACCTGGTGCTTCGAATAGTAGATGTATGCTGTTATTTAAAGAGTATGCTGTTTTGCTGCTATTTAATTATCGATATAGTTACGTTAGAGAGATTAAATAAATCAATCGATATAGTTACGTTTGCTCTCTTTTCAAATAAATAATTAATCGCTAAAAATTAATAGATATAGCTATGTTTTCTATCTTTAAAACGTTAATTGTTTAATTTTATTAAAATGTGATTATTAACAAAATATGCTATTAACATAATGACTTAAGCTTTTATTTAGTTTACTCATGGTGTTACTCGAATTTCGAATTTCGTCATCGATTTTTATGAATTTCGTTGTCGAATTTCGTCATCGTTTGTCGAATTTCGTCATCGATTTTGTCGAATTTCGTCATCGATTTTTAACCACTTTCCTGATAAGCTATCGAATTCAAATTTTGTATACACGTTGTTAATCGATGCAATGTGGTGAAGTGTTTTCTCAAAATTCCATTTAGACTTCTTATATTTAGTGTTTAAATGCTATTTCGTACATATCTTCGCTTAACGAAAAAACTAAGTGATTGCGACACAGTGTCTCCATCGCAGATACCGGAAGTGAGGAGTCATCAGTCAAAACAATTCGACGGCAAAACACGCGCTGATTTATTTATGACAGGAGGAGAGGAAAATTGCTTTCAGACCGAAAACGAAAGTGAGGATATATTAAATGCGGCTCAACGTTCGGATGCCAGTATTTTTAAACAGTAAAGGGAATGTGAGACATTACGCAGTATCTATAAAGACGCGCAAAGAAATAAAAAATAAATATTTTTTAATGGATGATTTGATTTATCATGCCGAAAGAATTTCCGGAGAACAAGTTAGTCAATTGGTATTACCTAAAGTTAGAAGGGAACAAATTTTAAAATTAGCTCACGAATCTATTTTTTGCAAATCATTTAGGGATGAGGAAAACAAAAGAAAGGATTCGTTATTCATTTTATTGGCCGAACATGTCACGAGATATTGAAGAATATTGTAAAACTTGTAAGGAATGTCAATTACAAAGTAGAGAAAGAACCAACGATCGTATACCCATGGTTCCAGTTCAGCGACCTGAATTTCCATTCGACACAGTAAATGTAGATATAATCGGTCCAATTGAACCTCCATCAGCACGTAAACACAAATATGTACTATGTTTAGTCGACCAACATTCTAGGTGGCCAGAAGCTGTCCCTTTGAGAACAATTACAGCAAAATCAACATGCGACGCATTATTAGAAATCTTTATGAGAACGGGCATACCTCGGGTAATAGCTAGCGATCAAGGTACCAATTTTGTTGCAGAATTAACACAAGAATTTCATGCCAGATTAGGAACAAGTCCTAGATTTGCAACACAAGGACATCCACAAAGTTCGGGATTAGTTGAACGGTATAACCATGTTCTAAAAACGTATGCTTCATCATACCATTAGAAATGACTCTAAAAATTGGGACAAACACATACCATACCTGTTATTCGCTTACCGCGAAATTTCCAAATTGTACTACAGGAGGCAGTATCCCCATTTAAATTAACGTATGGAAGAGAGGCCAGAGGTCCGTTGTTAGTATTAAAATCGTCATGGTCAGGAGAAATTCCATTACCAATAAAATTGGGTAAAAGCGCTATTGATTATCTACAGGAGCTAAAAATGAATTTAGAAATAGCAGCAGAGCAAGCATCTATAATTGCAGAATTGAAACAAGGTGCATATGCAAGATATGCTAATCGAAGGGCTATATATAAAGAATTCAATCCTGGAGATCAAGTGAACCTGCTGATTCCAAATTCCAGTAATAAATTATATGCCAGATGGATAAGACCTGCAGAAATAGTATCTCGTTGTAATCCAGATTCTTACAGAGTCAAACTGACAGATGGTACAATAAGAAGAGTACACGTAAATAAAATTAGAAAATTTAATCCAAAAGTACAGGCAGTAGGTGTAATATTTCAGAACGAAGAACAACTAGGAGAAGACCATGCCACACCCAGTGTGAGTGACAAGTTCAATCATTTTCATCTTAGCGAAGTAGACTTAAGCCATTTAGATGATGATAAAAGGAATGACATGATGAACTTGTTAAGAAAATACGAAAACTTATTTATAAATAAGGTACAAATTGCCAAAGTAGAAGAACATAAAATAAGATTAAATGACACTAAAAGAAAGAAGCCATATGTTTATCGAATTCCAGAAGAACTGAAGCCTCAAGTAGATAAACAAATCAAAAAAAATGTTGTCAATGGGATTGATTGAAGAAACCAACGTTGAAATTTCGTACCCTACTGTATGCGTTATGAAGAAAGACGGTAATCTTCGCCTTTGCGTTGACTTTAGATCCCTTAATGCAGTAACGAAACCAGATGACTTCACTATGGAAAATCCTAAAGAGCTCTTATTCCACATTGGAAAAGCCAAAGTGATATCCAGCATTGATTTACTCAAAGGCTATTGGACCATACCATTAGAAAAAGAAAGTCAAGAATTAGCATGTTTCAAGACACATCGAGCTCAGTATCAATTTAAAGTCATGCCTTTCGGGTTACGCAACGCCGCTGCAACATTTCAGAGAGTGATGAACCAGGCCCTTGCTAAATGCAAAGGTTTTGCTCGAGCCTACGTCGATGACATAGCAGTTTATTCAAATAGTTGGAATGAACATTTAGCACATCTTGAGACCATTTTTTCAAATATTGTTAAGAACTAACAGTTTTCCTGTAAATCTCAATAAAGTGTTCCATTTCGCTAAAACTCATATTAAGTATCTAGGACATATCATCGGCTCCTGGCAGTCTTTGTACTGATCCAGAGAAAGTGGAGGCTATCCAGAAATTAGCTAGACCTCAAACAAAGAAACAATTGAAAAGCATTCTAAGCCTATGTAATTATTACAGAGATTACATTCCACATTACACCGAAACAGCTTATCCATTAACCAAGCTCACCAAAAGAAAAGAAGTCCTGAAGAGCTGTGCTGGACAGAAAAGCACGACGAAGAATTCGATAAATTAAAGAAATGCCTAATGGAAGCACCTAGTCTTTATACCCCTGTTCCAGGGTTACCTTTTATAATTTAATGTGATGCATCTTCGACAGGTGTTGGAGCCTGCTTATCTCAAAGGAAAAACGGAAAGTTGTACCCGATTAGTTACGCCAGCCAGAAACTAAACAAAACACAACAAGCATGGCTAACTATCGAGAGGGAAGCTTATGCTGTTATTTGGAGCTTGAAAAAGTTTGAAACTTGGATTTTTGGACCACCTGTGGAACTGATAACTGATCACAATTCATTAACTTTCATCACAAAGAACGCACCACAATCTTTCTAAGTTACAGATATGGGCTTTAGCATTACAAAAGTATGCTACTACAATTTCACATTGCCCAGGTGCTAAGTTAAGCAATGCTGATGCGTTGTCCAGACTAGAGACTATTAAGTGACTTGTGTGAAAGAAAGAACTTTTCATAGACATTTATGAACTCTTCAGATTATTATTTTTTTATGTGTGTGTTTCTTTTTCAGCTACTCTCCTAGAAACTTTTAAATATATCATAGAAATTTTAAGTATTCTATTGCATTAGAATTATTTGATTATTAATTTTTAATCATTTATATGTTACAGTTTAGAAGAAGTCTTGTAGTAGGTGTAGAAGTAACCTGTGTAAGTATTGTGTTATATATCTTTCAACTTCAGTATTGATTAATTTGTAGACTTTAGTAGGTAAGTAACTCTTTTGTTTGACGTCACCATAATTTGTCATATTTTAATAGGCTTTCACCCTATTTCAATCTTGGATGGAGGGTGTGATGTATGGGTGACGCCAACCAACAAGATGTATAGAGGGCGCTGGTTCTTAATCTGAAGGCGCCAAAAGTTTCAGTTTCCAAGAGGAAGACCGACAGAGAGGTCATACGGAAGGCTCGTGGGAGCCATTAATGAAAACGAAATTAACTTGTATTACTTTATATATTTCAGTTATTAGTATTGTAGTTTATTATTAATTTTTTTTGTCTGTGAAATAAATGTTAAAAATACAAAAGGGTGGAGTTATTTCTCTATGAGGCGGTGGATGAAGAAAGGGATGATATCACAGACAGCATAATGAGTCTTCTCCATAAGGTTGTCTCAAGAAGTTGCCCGTACCTTCAAGCGGGTCGGCTTCTGTTCGAAAAGACAGATACTTTCATAATTCACCTACATAAAGATATAAATCAGTGGAAAGAATATAGAAAGATACCGACATAAAAGTGCCCACACCTTTCTATTTTTCTCAGGTTTTTAACTTGGACAGGTGCGGCCAATTTTTTGTCGAGACGCTCTTATGCAGTGCCAATTCTCATGTCCATCACTGATTAATTAATGAGGATAGGAATGCAATAAATCTTCGGCATCTTTTTGAAGAATCATTTTACTTGTACAAAAGTGTTGACATCTATATGAAAAAAGCTGGAGTGCAATGCCGCACCATTATTAAAAACTCTGAACTCGCGTTAAAGTATTAAGTTTTTGTTTCGGCGGCAGTAATTTTTAATTTCCAACTCGCTGCATTGTGCGAGGAATCCGATACAGAATACACTGAATTTACAGGCGAATGCATTATAATGCATATAATTATTGTATTTAAATGATTAACTCAGGCTTTTTTTTCCCAAAATGGCGCTAGGGGCCCAACAATGAAAAAAGCTTGTTTATTGTAAAAAAAAAAAAAAAAAAAAAAAAAAAAAAAGGCGGTGTTGGTATGTGTGAAAAATGCATTCTTAATTTTCTGTTCTGTACCGAGAAATCAGGCATTACATTTATGATGTACAATAAATGAATGAAATGCTATCTTTGACAACTGTTCTGCATTATGTCTGGATAAGAAAGGAAAAAGAAATGAGTAAATATGCTTCATTGTATCAATTTATTACTTGTTTAGGCTATTTTGCGTATACGCGTTATCTTAATTATCCCTATTTAATTTTTCCTACGGGAGAATTCAGTTTTACGTGGTACATTGCACAGTGTCGTTACGATAGGTCTCTTTAAATGATTAGTTTTGAAATTCATTTATTAAAAAAGTTAAACATTACTTAGAAAAACAAAACCTGAGGTTTAAAGTTCTCCTAATTCTCGATAATGTTCCAGGATACGGTATTGAAGCCCTTACAATATTGCATCCACATGTAGATGTTTTGTTCCTTCCACCGAACAACACTTAATCCACCAATGAATTAAGGCACTCGAAGCCTACTATGTCAGGCATGTTTACATCACTGCAAATACAACACTAGACGAAAGAAAGCATGGAACGCTAATGGTATTTGGGAAGCAGTTCAGCATAAGAAACTGCACAGAAATGATTAAACTCTCACGGTAATAAGTGAATTCATAAAAAATGAATGCTTGCTGGCATCAGAGCTGGCCAGAAGTTGACAATAACTTTAAAGTTGACAACAACTTACCATCGATTAAAAATGAAGTCAAGAAATTCATACAATTGCAAAAGCAAAGGATTATCAGATATGGAAGAGAGAAAAATCCCAGAATTAGTCGAGAATGACGATTACGAAATGGGAAATGACGAATTGGATGATCTTATAATATCAGCTGGTGGTGAGAGCAGCAATAACGAAGAATATAAAGAGAGTTTAACGTAAAAGAAATTAAAGGAATTGTTAGAAAGGGAACAGGAACTGGCTGATTTTGTGACGGAGATTGACCCAAATGAAGAAAGAAAAGGGCCCTTTTTTCATTAGATGTATTGAAACGTTTTGCACTCCTTACCACAAAATATTTAATCAAAAACTTCGAAAAGAACTTGTAATTAACTCTATCGTCTTGCCATGTTCATTTCAGACATGGAACTATTAATATACCTTCCCAAAAACATAATTTCTAAATTCAGAGGATAATTCGTGTAATGTGTTTTCATTTAAAACAAAAATTATGATAAGAAATTTTGTCTGAAAAAGCATCTCAACAAAGCTTTCGAGTGTCCGAATTATTATGTAAATTACTGATTAATAATTTTGGAATAAATTACTTTATTGCAACGAATATTTGGATGATATTTATTTAATAACATGCAAGTTTCAAGATACAGAAAAATAGTATATTAGGAAAATATTTGGAATATGTTTTTCAATATTTAGTAACAGATCTATGCAAATAAATTTCAAAAATACAAGTGTCCGAAACCAAATGAAAGACACTATATATTCGCAGATGCATATTCTTCCCACTTTAATGACAAGTTCCTATACAATAACATAAGGAAAAAAAAAGATACAAATTAACAAAATAAAAATTCATGTTGTTTATCAATTAATATAACTGTAGCTTATTTTGACAAAAATGGCCTGATTTAATTATTGTAAAATATAAATATAATTGCCAGCCGTGAACTTCAAGGAAAATGTTTCAAGACGGCAGAATATTATATATGTTAATCATAGACTGGTTAACTAATTATGACTAATCAGCTGACAGCTATCTGCCTAACACGTGATGCACACAGTGCGTTTAAGGTTGTGTCCTATTTCAGGCTTTCCTAGATGAGGCTTTTTAAAAAATCATCCCAGTTCTGCCACTCTTGATAGAAAAGAACGTTTCCCATTTCAACCTTTTTATTCATACGTCATTTATTGATTTAATGAAATTCCGCAAACGCTGGAATTTCATTAAATGAATCAATGAACAATTCAACTGGAAAAAATACATAAAGTAATGTCACAATGCGCGTCAGCCTTTAAAATCAGTTTAACCATTAGTGACACTGGTGATTAAAACTAATACATAAAACAAGATATTTTTATAATTCTATCACGGTTGAAATAGGAGAATCATAATCTTGATAATTGAAACATTGAAAGAGAAAACTGAAACACTGAAAGCGAAAAATAAAAACATTTGAGAATTCGGCTAGCATTAAATCTGTATTAAAAACACCAAGATCCGTCAAAATCGTTAATAATACTGCAATCGGAGTTTATAATAAAACAGATTCATTATTGTACAGGTTTTTAAAAATATGACTTTTTATATAGAAGAGAATTTTATGCCATGTATCGAAAAATGAATCTTTTACAGCCAATTGCCGAATGGAGTTATATGGTATAAAAACAATAATGTATCTTCCTTTCCGACTGAAATAATTGTTCTTTATGCTACTTAAGAAGCTTCTTTTTTTCGGCTTTTCCTTCTTTCACTTTTAGCCCGGAGTAACTTAAAATACACGAATTTATCCTGCAATGTTTTTTTACCAGCTATAATAAAAGGTTAAATTAGAAAGCCTAAAATGGTGAGATTTCTGATGTTTGCATCCAGAACACATGAAGAAGAGAAGAAAAGTCTGAAAAGTCTTGGTAAGATTTATGTTGCTACCTCCAGAAAGCCTGACTTGGGAAAATCAGAAATGTGACATTAAAACGTTTTATTACAGTATTTTTAACAAATACTAACAAATATTCTAAACGATAATTGACAGAATTAATGATGTCTCAGTTTGCTTTCCTTAAAATTCCGTTTGTTTGTTGACACAATTGTCAACATTTGCACTTTGACATTTGTTCTACACTCTTCTTGCAGTTTATTGTTTATTTTCGTACAAAGAAATCTGTTGTCATGAGTTCAAAAGCTGATAAAAGGATAGTCATGTTTGAAGAAAAGCTAATAAATTCAGTTTTGCTGTAAACTAAGAATTTACACTGATTCTTTTATTGTGGTTGAAAAGGAAGCTTGGTGTTTTGCTTTTGTTTTTGATCCGGGAATTGCCTACTTGGATCACTGAAGGCTCTTGACTACAAAAACTTCGACTTCCGGAATCTCCAGTAAGCACCACATTGGTGCCCTTTTCTACTTCCTTGTACGAAGTAAAAAGGAAGTATTGTAATCGCGAAAAGTTTCAGGTAGCATATTTCAAAGAAAATATCCATTTTGACCGCTATCGAATGCAAGTTAACGATGTTTTTGCGTGATATCTGTACGTAAGGACAGAATAAAAGAATCTTTTCCTACCAAAAAAAAAAAAAAAAAAAAAAAAAAAAAAAAAAAAAAAAATTATAAAACTGCTTTAAAATGAATTCTGAAGAGAATTTTTCGTGGTGTCTGTAAGAACGTATGCACAACTCAAAAACGAGTAGCCTCAGAACGTTTAAATTTTGTATATAGGACTGCTATAACATGTAGATGTGCACCTCGTATTTTAGTTGCAATCGGCCGCACCAAACGTGTATAAATATATTTATATATATATCCAGTCTGTTATCCGGCTCAGTGATCTCAGTTTCTTTACTCTTATATGTTTGTAAATTGTACATTTTTTGCTTTAAAAATGATTGAATTATGTTCTTATCTTCCGGTTAAGGTTTTTATGCCTTTAGTAAATCTGTATGCAATATTTTTAGAATTATCAACAATTTTAAAGTTGTTTAAGTGCCGCTAAGCCTAATATTTTTTTTGATGGCGGCCATTGCTTGTTTACATTTGAAACAGCAGACTAGTGGATTTGTTGCCAATCTAGAGAAACTTAGCTTTGCAACAATAAAGATAACGCCTTCATTTATTATTGCGAATTAAATCATGCTTAATCCTTTCTGGAATTTTTTCGAGGAAATAAGTGTTTAAGAATTCACTTCGTAAATTTTAATATAGATATTTTGAGTTTTTATGTATTTTTGCCTTGTCGCGAAGTGAGAACTGAATTAATTGAATGAGAAATACTCAATCGTCTGTGAAAAACTATTTCTTTTTTGTTTTGTTTGCTTAATTTCTTTTATACATCGTTCTAGCTTTATTATAGTATTTGAATAGAACATGTGGCAACGATTAGATAATTCTTTAAATGATATACATTTTGTGCATTCTGAGTTATAATATATGAACTCCTACTTTCGTAAGTATTAAGATGTGCCTGCTCACGCAGCTGAATTTTCTTCGCCCACGGGTGTTGGTACTTCTCTTAGTTCCATTCATTTGAAAATTTCTTTGCCTATTGCACTTTAATGCGATCTTCTGGCAAAAACTCTTTAGTAGTTAATGACTAGAAAAAAGTAAGTCATAAAGTTATAATATGAACGAAATATAATACTGTTATGTGAATCTAGCGCCAGAGTGTCGCTATGGTAAACAAATAGAGTGAATTTTAAAGAATGCATTTATTCTATTGTGGTTTATGCGCTGACGGCGAAGTAGATTTATTTCAATCCAATAAGTTTAGATGAAATGGAAGAAAAAATGCGTATAATTTAATATTCTGTACAAGGAAGTCATGTGGTGTACACATCAGACTTTTGGGTTCAAAAGATACAATTCACAGGGATAATTTCCATGAGGAACACATAATGAACATCATATGACATAATGGATAGGTTTGTAAACAAAATTCGCCACTATAAGCTTAAAAAGGTTTTATCGAATAATTAGTTTCAATGATACTGTGCTGTTACAAGATTCTATTATCTTCAAACAATTTTAAGCAAAGAAAAGTGTCTCAAACCACCGATTGTTTATCTTGGATTTTAAAATTATATTATTATTTTGCTTTTTTCCCCTCTAAACCATGGATACAACAAACCATGGATAAACATCGTAGAGATCTACTTGATTGCTCCAGTTGCTATAATGTAGACACTATAAAAAATTTCTTAAATATGAAATAAAAATGTTTAGTACTTAAATAATTCTTAAATAGAAAATAAGCATTTATAACTCTTATATACTTCTTAGATGTAACATAAACAATTATAGTTCTTAAATACTTTTTTAATGCAAAATAAGCCTTTATGGTTTTTATTTAGAAAACTTTTCTCACAACCAGCAATGCTTAGAGCTAATGTGAGAAAAGTTCGTACTAGCGTTTCAATATTTGGAACTTTGGTCTGAAGATT